ATTATGACAATTGCTGCTCTGGTTGTGGTAGGGACAGCTGTTGTTTTTGTTTTTGGGGAAGAATATACATTTTTATTTTAATTTCTTCAAAATCTTACAGTAAACAGTAAAAAGTTTTTTTTTAACAACAATTTTTTAAAACAATAAACATGAAAAAAAAAATCTTACCTGTGAGTATCAGTATTATCGATAAGGTATGCCTCATGCCCATTTTTAGTTTCCTATGATCTGCAACATTAATATCCAAATAACAATCAATGACAGCACAGAAATAAATCTTTTTACATAGAGCTAACATACTTCAGAGCAATTTTCAACAATTTAATTGTCCTTTTTTATTTCTTCTTTCTTTTCTTTTGTTTGTTTTTCAGTCCATCCCATTTTTCTCAGTGATGAATCTCTTATTATAATTTTTAAAACCCTATTTTAGTATTTCACCATAGATTCTGCTTTGTCCTTATTCATCACTAAAATATTTAGATTTTGAAATCATTCATCCAACAGATAAGAGCAGATAACTTCAGACATAATTTGAGAATCATGGCCTTTATTTTGTATCATAAAGATCTCAAGATAACAGAATTCTGCACAGTCTCTCCTTAATGGAAATCTTTTCAATCTTAGGTTCCTCAGCTCCCGTAAAGACAAGTAGAAAATTGATACAATCCCGCAAAATAAACGTTCCAATATAGTTTCCTTTTAGTTTCTTTAGTATTGAAATTCCTCCGAGTCCATCAAGCATATTCAAGCATCTAGGACTGTTTGACCGTTTTCCAGCTATAACTGCATATGTTCTGTTGTGTAAAACAAAGGAAAGCATAAATTAATCAATATTTCTTCTGAACAACTTCTTAATTTGTGAGCTCTATAAATATATTAAACTTATTCGCCCAGAAACATATTCTAACTTCTCAACAAGTATTCAATTAAGTGTTTTCTAACAAAACAGATTATTGTCGTTAAGGAAAGTTTTAGGCAAAATCATTATCAATGACACTGTGAATCACTTCAAAACTCCATATGAAAATCAATATCACTCAGCTGACTTTTTACATTACATAGTTTTTGACTTTCTTCTTTGCTGACGAGATATATCGACTTTTGGAACCTCCGAAAAGCATCAAACATAACATTAGTTGTCTGTTGCTTCCTCTAATAGCCTCCGCGCCTCAAATCATACAGAAAAACAAATACAGTCTCCAATTTACACTGAAAA